TATGCTGAGAATTAATAATAATAATAATTAAAAAAAAATAAAGTGCCCTAATGTCACAATGGATTTATGGTGACTCCTCATGGAGTTTTCAAGGCGAGAGATTAGGAGAGGTGGTTTGCCACTAAATTCCTCTGCACAGCAGCCATGGTCTCTCATCCAAACTCTAACCATGGCCAACACTGCTTAGCTTCTGAGCTCTGACAAGCTCAGGGTAGTCTGGCCTATTCAGGCTGCTACACTGTGAATATTGATATGAAAAAGGGTCCACATTCACAGTATGGGAAACAGAATAGGTCAGGAAGGTTTGTTGCTTGGTAATCAGCTTGAGGACATTTTGTAAGAAAAACAGAATGTCTATTGCTATATTTTTATCCCTCCCTTCTCTGAAGCAGCTCAGGGCGGCATACATGATTCTTCCAGCCTCCATCTTATCCAAACAACAATCATGTGAGGTTAGGCTGAGACAGAGTGACCAGTCCGAGGCAATGCTCCCTCTAAGCTGTGGAGTCTTGTGACCAAAAATTCTACTTTGTGAGCTACTGGCATTTAAGCTGTGAGCAACCGAGTTGGCTACTGCATAAATGAGTTTGCTCTGGAGCCACCCTTCCTGAGCTAAGACAAAAATGCGTGAGCCGGAGGCTAAAAAGCAGTGAGCTAGCTCACACTAACTCAGCTTAGAGGGAACACTGCTCCGAGGTCACCTGAGGAGCTTTTCATAGCTAAGTAGGGATTTGAACCCAAATTTCCCAAATCCTGACACTAATTACACTGTGCTAAATAAAACAGACGAACCTTAGCTGCACCCACACATCACTGTAAACTGCTCTACCCAATGCATTACAGTAATCTTTCGCAACTGGATTTTCCAGATGTGGACAGGACAATCCAGTTACGAATAAATGCTATGAACAATGATAGCACAATATCCGATAATGTGTGGGTTGCAGCTCTTGTCTATTTATGCGTGACTAAATGGTGGCGGCTGGATTTGAGTCCAGTAGAATCTTAGTGGCCAACTAGATTATGGTGGTATAACTTTCAAGAGTCGACACCAGATACCCAAGGAGCTTTGACTCTTGAAAACTTATACCCCAAAAATCTCGTTGGTCTCTAAGGTGCTACTGGACTCGAATCTATTTGTTCTACTGCAGACCAACATGGCTACCCTCTGAAACTATCTTCACAGAATGGTGACAGGCTCTCCAGTGAAGGTATAAATCACGAGTCTACTAATAAGGTTACCACCTCTGAAACTCAGTGCTCATTTGAGTTTTCAGGCTCCACATGGAGTATTGAAAACAATTTTCTTTGGTTGTGCCTTTCTTAAGTCTTCAAAAGATTGAAAATCCACATTTCATGCATTCTCTGCACATCGGAACTAGCAGTTTTCAAAGGTTTGTGGTGCTGATGTGGAGAGGCTGCTTGTGTTTGGGCTAACACGTAAGGCAAGGATGTAAATTATATACTAGTGCTACCACAAATAAGTGCTTTTTGACAGCCTCCATGTGGCTGCAATGTTCAGATGCTCCCTAACAAAGCTTCTGGCTGAGCTTATGAGACCACATGTCTGAACTAACCATTCCATAAACCTTTACTGATGCCCTATAAAAGATAATGGGCTAATTCTCCCAGGGCTCCCTATTGCCCAAATCTCAACCACAGGGGTACTGTTTTCTGCTGAACAGCAGACATCACTGTTACTTTACACCAGTAAAATATTTCTCCACTTAACCCATGTTTAAACAAGATCACACTTTCAACTGTTGCAGTCTTCAAACAGACACAATCATTGGGAAGAATGGATCTTTTCAGTTTCCAAAAGGAATGCAAAATGATCCCAAGTATTCACTTCTGAATCTACTTTTCCATCACTGAAATTAGGTTTACATTTGGTCCTGGGAATCAACACATTTATTCCCTCCTTCACACTACAATGATACAGGATGCTTCCACATGGAGCCACAGGGGATTCCAGCACAACGGGAGTGGGGAGTGGAGAATAGTGACAACGGTGAACAGCATGGGAATGGGTGGGGACACATTTTCATACCCATCTGGATGCAGCCCCAGTCAAGACCAGATAATTTAGTGCTTAAGTGTTTCAGTCTGTAATGTAACTGAGCTCAAGAAGACAATCTTGCCAAGTCTGGAGGTCAGAAGTGCTTGAATAAACCACAGCATTTCCCAATGTTGCATTACTTCATTTAACTAAATTACCACCTGCTTGTAGACGGTTACAGGAGTATGCTGCTACACATATTTTAAGCCCAGCAATTTGAAATAACACTTTATCACAGGTCATTGCCTTCTGACTTAAACTTGCTAAATCCAAACTAAAAAAAATTAATTAGCTGTTTATCAAAATGCAGGAGTGGAACGGAGTCTCTGGAGAGGCAGCAAATGAGTTTTATAAGTAAGCAAATCTTTTTTTGCAAAGGTTAATATTGGAGTTCTCATATACCACGAATTTTGATCCTAAAGTTTAGCAAACTGTTCCTATATCTCTGAAAATATGAAGAATATATCAAAATGCAGGAGTGGAACGATGTCTCTGGAGAGGCAGCAAATGAGTTTTATAAGTAAGCAAATCTTTTTTTGCAAAGGTTAATATTGGAGTTCTCATATACCACGAATTTTGATCCTAAAGTTTAGCAAACTGTTCCTATATCTCTGAAAATATGAAGAATATGACACTAAGCATGCTGAACCATTCACATTCGTAGGCCACTAAAAGGTAATTTCATTTATTTCTACAAGTAACCTTAATGATGAAACTTTATTTAAAAAAAAAAAACTTATTTTTTCCCCATGATATTCAGAGACTCTTGTTTTTTAAAATGAGCAGGGACAGAAACTATGGAGAGAAATGTACTCATTTAGGGGGAGGAATAAGCTACATACAGACACCACTAAAGAACAGCACAACCCACGTATCTGGAAGTATTTGTTTAAATATTTTCCATATGTCTTTTTCACATTCTGCAGTAATATACACCAAGAAGTGTAAAGGAGTGAAAATGTATTCCTGAGTGTTGTTGGCTTTTATTCAGTATGTGAAAGAACATGATAGCAGCCACCTTGTGTCCAACAACCTCAAGAACCCAAGTTATGAATGTGGGATATTTTAAATGAATGAATAAAGAACATCTGCTATGGGTTTATTCACCTAGATATTATATATTTCCCTGTTGTAAGCTTTACTATGAACTGGAGATCTTCAGATAAGTAGGATGAGAAACTGGAACTATTAAATTCATTCAAGGCATTATTAAATATTGACATACATGGGAATTTTATATACCAGACACAAAATTAACAGTGTTTTTATCTTATAGCAAATTGTTACTTACTTCTTTGGAAGGATGCATTGGTAACGTAAAGATTGTTTTCCAGTAAGACCACACAAACATTGTGAAAAATAGATGATAAGCAATCAGGCACATCACTAAAATCAAAGATGTAAAATGAAGGCATTAAACAAACAGCTGAAATTGTACAGAAATTACAGAATACAAACACAAAGACAAGCTTTGTCATGGACTCAGTTACAATGTATCATAAACCTTAAAGTAAAGCAAAGACAACAATATTAAGTCTTGCAGCCCGACTAGAATTTTTTTGCGAAGAGATCTGAAAATCCTTTCAAATGAAAGAATTGTACAATTCTATAATTTTGAGGGGGTGGACAAATTAACTTATCAAAAAATAAGCTGAAGTTGCATCTTTCATTAGTGTATAACTACTGCAAATGGAAAAAAATAGTTACAGCCAGTAATATTTGCAACTGTCAATTATTTTGATTCCTGGCTTACCATTTATTATTACGCAGGCAGGATGGGGCAAACTCAGCAGCTATGTAACAGACAAGGACACTTAACCAAATCAGTGGAGTTACATAGACTGCTCAAAGAAAAGAAAATTCTTCAGCAATGTTTGTTTGCTCAGCATTACCACCAATTACGTTAATGTTTTGGTAGCTTGGGGAGGATATTTTTTTCTCAAGAAGCTCCCTTGGGAAATGTTATACTTCTCACACACACACATTCCTGACAGGTAGCACACCAGTGGGTGGAAAGGCAGGAAAACAGTTTGCTTGCCCAAGTCTGCAAACACCCTGCCGTGCAGGCAGTATCGTCTTAATAACAAGTGACAGTTGTACGGCAATCAGATAACAGACTTGCATTGCTTTTGGGAAATGTTATACTTCTCACACACACACATTCCTGACAGGTAGCACACCAGTGGGTGGAAAGGCAGGAAAACAGTTTGCTTGCCCAAGTCTGCAAACTTGCAGGCAGTATTATCTTAATAACAAGTGACAATTGTATGGCAATCAGATAACAGACTTGCATTGCTTCTGCGTGGGTCTCTTGCTCTGCACCCCACTCCCCAAATATCACAGTGGATTTAATTTTTGCTTTGACATCATTGTGCTTTCATGAACCTTCTGGGGTTACCCCAGCTCTGCTGCAATTTCCCCCAAACCTGTTTTGGTGTGGTCTTACCCAACACCATTCTCCTCCTCTCCCCAGTTGACAGGCTTTTCACCTTTAACACACTACAGCAATATCCAATTACCAATTACTAATGATTTAAAAGAAACCAACAAAAAGCCAACCAAGGGCATGGTGGTGGTGAGGAACAGAGGGCAGGAGGGAAAAGCGTAAAGTGGTGAGGAACAGAGGGCAGGAGGGAAAAGCATAAAGTATCTGTGTGGAAGCAGTTATCCTCATGCAGAAGCAGTCTTAGGGCCAAACCAGATGAAATGGAAGGGATTTGTGATGCTCTGATAACGGCATCATCTTTAGTGTTCCTTATAAGCAGCCATGGGAAGAGCCCCAGTTGGGATTAGGTGTTGGAGAAGGGGAACACGCCACTGTGCCGTTTCCCGTATAGAAAACACCCTCTTCCCTTAGCTCCTATTAGTCTGACTGGGATGGGGCAGGGAATGCAAAATTGTTCCTAACATAAAAAAGCAGAGTTGTCTTGGTGTCCTCCACCAGGGTAGGTAAGAAACCAAACACAGGTGGGCTCAAACCATTGGTCTATCTAGTATTGCCTGCTTTGACTGGCAGTGGCTTTCAAGGGTCTCAGGTACAGGTATTCCATATCACCTATTATTGGTTCCTTTTAACTAGTGATGACTGGGATTGAACATGGGATCTTCTGCATGCAGATACTCTACACTGAGCTACACTCTCTCTACAGAAGCAATTCCAAAGGGGCAGAACCATTTTTTTAAAAAGAGTTAAATCTGCAGATCTTTGGTTCAATTTTAATTGATTGCTGGCAGGGTACTTCAAATAACCTCACTGTTCTAAACTATTGTTTTTCTTCTCTGTTAGAGTACATGGAACACCTACCAATCTCATGACTTCACAACACTGTCTAGATTTTTCTTCCACCATGCCACCAAATGACGAGAGACACAGGCAGCCACCTGAGTTGCACTGGGTAAACTTAGAAATATTATGTAGGTTGCTATTTGAGTCTGAACTTTAACTGAATTTACTAGAACTTGACGATTCATGCTACCCATTCAGGTCTCCACTTCAAAAAATTCAGTACAAGCAACATTAAACAGGTAGTTGGCATTGACTAGAAATCCAGTTACAAAGGTTATAACTTACCTTGTTCTCCAACATTTGTCATGGTTACTGCAAAACACAGGGGGGGGGGGAAGAAAATTTTAGCTGCCATTATTTTGACACAGCAAAGTATTCAATTTATCTGATCCTATTTTTCAGTTAGTGACACAGAAGTTAATGCCTTGAATTTGTTACACTGTCTTTTAATGCTCCACAAATCTCCACTTTATTACATGCTGCAATTGTCAAAACATCTCTTCCAAACGAGATCATATGTAGAGTTGCAAGATTTCTGGGTCACTACTTGCCAAAGCAGAAAAAAGGCCATGATCTATACCAGAGGCCCCCAAGCTTCTTGATTCTGTGGGCACCTTTCAAATTTTGAGAGTGGGGGGTGTGGGCCACCCCCACAATGGCTGCCAGAAGATGTGGAGCCAAAACTAAAAAAACCCAAAAACCTACTGCAGGAGGCAAAGCCGAGCAGAATACCTCCCTTCTCACACATCCTGGGAAGATGGAATGCCTGAAGGCGGAATGGGTCCACACACCGACTAAGGAGAGCCTGGGCGTTTACCGGTCTTCCTGATCATCCAGTGGCTGCCTATTATTGCAGCCATGGAAAATCCTTTCCTTTCAATAAATGCAACCAATAACAAGCTCTGCCTTACAATGGCCCCACCAACTTTCTGAAAAGCTCAGCCAAGCATCACATTGAAGATCCCTGATCTCCACGTCCTTCTCTGCACCTCTCCTAAATAAAGGGAAACATTTTGGTGTGAAGGATCGCCTACCGAAAGGATGCCTGAGGGATGCTGATGCGCTCCCCTGGCAAGAATTACAGCGGCAGCATCTGAAGACAGATGAGTTTTTAACAAAATGCTGTAAGATGTCTGATACTGGTAACATCATTTCCCATGGCATACACATTCACTAATTTCTTTTACCCCATTGTTAACTTCAGTAATACAGGTTTTTAAGTTGTACAAAAACTTGCAAAGTCTAGAAGCAGAAACTATGGTAGATAAGTACCCATATTATAGGCAACAGTTCTGGCTCCTTTCAACTATTGAAAAGCTATTACCTAACTCCAGTATTAGATGTTTGCACAGTTTCTGGTGGGGCTGAGATTGGAGAAGCTGAGCAATAAAAAACAGCTCTCAGCAGATGACAGAAGAGAAAAAGGGAGTCTGAATGCGGTAATATGAATTCAACCTCCATATAAACAAAGGTGGTGGCTGGCTACCATCATCTGAGAACACCAGGTCTATGTTCTTTTTTTATCACATTGTAGCTGAGAATTCATATCTAACCTTTCTACCTTTACTCTTCCCTTTTCTCCTTACATTGAGAATTTACGCTTGAAGGATTCATGGTGGTATTCACACCAAGCCTCTCTGCCTTGGCTCTCCACCCCACTGTAACCTTCCTCATAAGGATCCCCAGTATGATTTTCCTTCACATATTTATCTTAAGAAGTGAGGTGCTTAAATAAAAAAAAAAAAATAGAAGTGAGGTGTGACTCACAAAGGTTCATGTTGGAATAAATGTTGTTAAGTATTTAGAGTTCCACTGGTCTTGTTTTATTTTGAGAACTGTACCAACATGTAATGGAACCTAACCTTCACTGTAGATATGTTATACTAGCATTGCATATATATTATAACTGAATAAATGCTTATGATCAGGAGACTTTCAAAGATGAAGATTCCTCACACATATTTGTGGTTTGGGCTCACTATTTCCCAGAGACACGGGGTGGAAAATTTTCTATTTCTAAAGATGGCTGCTAATTTTGAAAAACAATGAATGAATGGATGCCATTTCCTATACAATATTAGGCAAGCTTTGCAGTTTCCAAGTTGTACAATATAAGGCAAGCTTGGCAGTTTCAGGTGATTATCCCTAGGAACTTTGTCAAAGTGTCAATGTATGTTCTAATGATTTGTAAACCAGGGGTGGGGTGATAAAATATGAGCAATCACCCAAATAAAAAAATCAAGTTATGAATTATCTTCGTTAGCTGTTCATCTCAAAGCAAAACCAGAACTAAAATTCTTATTTAAGTGTTTCCTGTCACACGGTGCAAGTGATACTGTGATCATCACTCTGATACAGAACCAAAAAACACAACAGAAATGATGAGGTGCCCCATGACCTCTGCGGCCAACCAGTTACATTTTGTTGGAAGAGATTGGTGAATAGCTGGGATCCACAGCATATCATGCACAGTTACTCTGTCAGTTTTCAGTGCCTTGAAATGTTTTTGTTTTTCAATCAATCAATCAATCTAATTTATTGCGGCAGGAGCCTGTAAAGTTTTTGTTTTTTCTTAAATTTAAGCCATGTAAAGGAAGAACATGATATAGTCTTTTAATATATATATAAAATTCCAATAAAAATAATTTCCACAAAAAGCTTTGAATTTGTTTGAACATTTAAGTCACATATGATTTGGGGGGCCCATCAAACATTTCAGTTCAAACATTTGTTGCTAGTGGAATAAACTAGATCACACTATTTAGGTGAACAGATAATTTCCCAGAAAATTCCCCTATTCTATTTTTTTCTCAAAAATACACACCACCGTTTTCTCTTTTTGAACACTGTTAGCATTTCACATGTCTCTCAGCAACTCTGAGAGGTTACAATAATATTGGTTGGTGACATTTCAAGTTTCCCAACAAATCAAGAATTATGAATACAAACTGTACACATAAAAAGCACTGCATTTCAGTCAAATCTTGCTGAAATTTTAAAGTTCACTTAATGTCAAGTAAAGACACGACTCCAACCGTTCCCTGCATGCATGTTATCTTTGCAGGTTTTAAAACTTCTATAACAGTGCTCCACAAGCTGCTGGTCTGTACATCTTCATCTCTCTCTCTGAACTGCTACACAGATACAAGCAGAAAAGGAACTGTAAAAAAGCTGTGACGGACAGGAACGTAACAGATTGCATGTGGGTAACTTAAGAAAAGGCATCCCAAATGCAAACACTCCCAGGAACAGTCCCATGGAAGTCTTTCTCAATGTTCAATTACAGAGCTTTGTAACACTAGCTGCCAACACTATTGGCTTACTCATGGTAAATGTATCTTGTGCTTTTGCTTTTGGTACCCAAGGCAGCTTACAACAATTCAAATTCAATTGTGATAAAGCAAAATATACAATGCAGACAGCAGTGGCAGCAAGCACACACACAAACTCACCCATAACTAGGAAGAATTAAAGTGAGAGTGTATCAACGGCCAAAGAAAACACGTCATCTTCAACTAATGATAGAGTTACACCCATGCTGGCACCTGGCAAATAACCCTTGGCAGAGTTTTCCAGAGTTGAAGCACTGTTACATAAAATACCTGCTCTCTAGTCTCCACTTGCTTTACTTCTGATGGTCAGACAACTGGGGTATAGCCTCTGTAGATGATCTAAAGGAATTGGCACAGTGATCTAGGAGCACATGGTTTTTTAGATATCCTGGTCCCAATCTGTTTCAAGCTTTCGATTAAAAGCTGCCCTTGAATTGTACTGGGAATAAACTGGGATCCGATGCATATCTTTAAACACAGGTATGGTATGCTAATTTTAGCATGTTTCCAAAATGTCATTTTGTTCATTTAATCAACCAGTCACATAATAACTTCTGTCTTGGAAGTGAAATCATTTGCACTTCTGAGAGCTTTCTGGACACAGATTTGTACAACAGAATACTGCAGCTAAGGAACCGCTATACTCTTGTGGGTTTGGTAAAGTGGAAGATGTCATCCATTAAGCACTTTATTTGCTCATATAGTATTCTAGGTGGGTACTGCTGGGTTTGGATTTGACTAGGGTGCCCAGCAACATTTAAATTGATTTATTTTTTTGCTGAGTTGCATTAGATGGGTCCATCTGAGATTCAGTCTTTAACTGTCAGTAATGAGTAGACAGTCTGTAGACTACAGGGATGACAGGCAAAACTGATTGCTGGTTTGTTTGGATACCTCTGAAACACTGTAAACCTCTCCCCACCCCCTTTTTTGTGCTCTACAGTAAATTACTGGCTGCTCATATGGTGAATACCTTGGAAAGCCTTGCCTCCCCACTCTGAACCAACTGAAGTTTCCAAATAGTTTTCAAAGCACCAACATTCATGATGTACTACAATAGACGTCACTCGAACCAGTGTGAAGTTATCACTTTCCTAAGAAGGAGTACAGATAGTTCTCCCATATTTTGCAAGGAAAAAAGACATTTGGCTGTTACAGACTGCACCCTTGTTGCTTTTGGGTGAGCACACATCAAATCTAGCATATGCTCTTGGACCATTAGTCCATATGCAAACAGCAGAGAATGCCCTGAACGGTGGTTTGGGATTACTAACAGGCTGAGGGGTAACAAACTGAAGCTCAGTCTAGACCAGGCAAAGGTACTGTTTGTCTAGAGACTGATCTTCAGTTTCTTTGCCTTCACTCAGCAGATTAGTAATTCCAAGCAACTGTTCAGGGTTTTCAGTGTTGTATCTAACCACGATGAAGAGGAGAAACAAAATTATATGTCATCAGCATACTGAGAGCACATCACCATAAACCTCTGGATTGCATTGTCCAGTGGTTTATACAGATGTTAAAAATGCAGGGGATAGTACAGACTCCTGAAGAACCCCAGAACACAAGGTCCAAGAAGCAGAGCAAAATTCCCCTAGAACCTTTCTGGAACCCACCTATCAGGTAAGAGTAGTGCGCAACATTTAGAGCACAACAGTTCCCAGGCACTTCAAGATTCAGTAGTTTTCAAAAAAATTAGTTAACAAACCTCCTAATGCACCAGGTGACAACACTTTGTTTGCATATTCCACATCTCATCAACTAGTTCATTGGCTGTTAGGTCTTCCTGCTTCTTATCCAATTAGAAAAAGCAACATGCACCAAACTCCATTTTAGAAGATGTTACGAAACTGCCACACATGTTACAAAACAGAAACTGCCACACATGTAAACTTTGTGGTGTGTTGTTTGGCTTAAGATCCTATACCAGTCAGTATAGAAATATTTGTATTTTTATACCTTTTGCCATGTTTTAGAACTTTC